ACAAGTTTAACAAGTTTAACATATTTCAAAACTGGTGTAAAAGCTATTATAATAGAGTTGTAAAATCAAAAACCTCGCTAGCGGTTTGACGTTTGCCGTAAACGTCAATCTTAAGGTCTCTATTGGCTATTATCGTCGCTACGTTCCTGACTTCTCAAGACTAGCAAAACCGTTGTTTGATATACTGAAAGACACGGGAAAAGCGAACTGTGTTCAATCTTCTATACTTGTCACGTGGTTACAACCACACCAAGACGCAGTTAACTCCCTCATTGATCTCCTGTCAAGTTCATCGATTCTAGCGTATCCCGATGTAAACCTGCCGTATACATTATACACTGATGCTTTCGACAAAGGCCTCGGTGCTGCTCTTTATCAATGTCAAGAAAGCTAACTGCGAGTGATTGGATACGGTTCGCGGACGCTGACAAGTAGTGACAACAGCCGAGAAGAATTATCATTTGCATTCTGGAAAACTTGAATTCCTGGCTTTGAAGTGGGCCATCACAGAACACTTTAAAGACTACCTCTATTACGCGCCATGGTTTGTTGTATATACTGACAATAATCCATTAACATACGTCACATCCTCAGCCAAGTTAAATGCTACTGGACATCGTTGATTAGCGGGACTAGCCGACTTCAATTTCATCATAAAGTATCATCCTGACCGTAAGAATAAAGTAGTTGATACCTTGTCGGGGATGCCCGTGAACGTTGAAGAATACATAAGCAAATGCACCGCAGAGACAAGCCAGGAGATTATCGAAGCCATCAATCAAGGAGTAGAAGCACAGGCAGCAGGAAAGACTACTTGGATTAACGCAGTTACAGGTAACATGGACATAGCAGACCAAAATGAAACAGCGGGTGCTACCCGACAGGATATTTCGCCAAAAGCTTTATATGGTGCGCAACGAAATGATCATAATCTAAAACAAGTGGCCCAGTACTTAGAAAACAACACCGAGAAACCTTCAATAAGAGACAGGGTGGCTGAAACAAAGACGACACGCCGCCTATAATAAATGAATGGAAGAAGCTGGAACTCGAAGACGGGATACTGCGACGTCGCGCCGGCGAATATCTACAACTGGTGTTACCCAGGCAATTTCGTCGAATGGTGTACCGTAACCTCCATGAAGAGATGGGCCATTTAGGACGGGAGAGAACATTTCAATTGGCAAAAACGCGGTTGTATTGGTCTTATATGCAACGGGACATACAGCATTATGTCTTAAATGTGTGCTCCCGTCTGAAACAGAGACGCCCAAAAGTGTCCCCTAAAGCACCATTACAACCCTCACATCTTCAGCACCATTTGAACTAATATCGATCGACTTCGTTCACTTGGAAAACAGCAAGGGTAGTTATGAATACATCTTTTGTATTGTTTTTGTAGATCATTTCACCCGATTCGCCCAGGCGACTCGTAAGAAATCTGCTAGAACTACTGCTAACAAGTTATACAACGATTTTGTTCTTCAATTTAGGTTTCCGTCACGTATTCACGACGATTACGGCGGCGAATTTGAGAACATTCTGTTTAAACATCTAGAGGAACTTTGTGGAGTGCAACATTCTAGAACAACACCGTACCACCCCGATGGAAATGGGCAGGCCGAACTATTCAACCAGACCTTGCTTGCCACGCTGAGAACCCTGCAAGAAGAAAAGTCGAATTGGGCAGGCATTCTAAATAAAGTCGTACATGTGTACAACTAGACGAGGAACGATGCAACAGGATTCGCACCATTCTTCTTGTTTGGTAGAGCACCAAGACTACTTATTGACCAGATATTTGGTCTGTGTCATCTATCACAGAGCGTAAGTTATCCAAAGTAAGTGAAAAATGCGTACAAGATCGTTAGAAAGAGAACGGGGCACCAACTTCACACAAGTGGAGAGAGAGAGCGAGCGAAAGAGAGCACATAGTTCGGCGCTTAATCCAGGTAATCGAGTCCTGGTTCGTAACTTGAGCGAACGTGGGGGACAAACAAAACTTATAGTGCTTTCTGGGAAGATAAGATACACATTGTCGTCGAACGAAAATGTCAAGACAGCCCAGATAGCTACTCAGAGATAAACTTTGAAGAATACAAATCGGTCCAGAGACCACAACAACACGAACCAGTAGTAGTACCTGACAAAGAGATCAATGAAAACATTGCTAACGATATCGATGGTCCTGATCTGATGAATGTCAATGACCAAGGTGAAGAAGAACTAAACGGAGAAGGTCGTCCCTACAATGAAATCGGAAACGTAAATGGAGCAGTGCAAAACGCAGTGGCCAAGAATGAAGACCAACCATGGAATGATGAAAATATTGAGGACCCTTGGCCAACATAACGCCCACAACGAGTAAGACAACCACCGGTACGATTCGGATATAATCAACCGGGAAACCCAGCATTATTTTGTCAAGCTGTTGTACGAGCGTGCAACCTTGGCAGACGACCCTTTACCCACCTTGGAATCCAGGATGGTTACCACAACCGCAATTTTGGTCACCGATGCAGTGCCCTTGGCAAATGTTTCATCCGCAGATGTGCAACGCATCAACGCCATTTTACCGCATTGGACCAGTAGGAATGTGGTGACGTTGAACTTTGCAACTAAGTGAACTTATTATGCGAACATTTTGAACTAAGTAATCTAAGCAAAACGCTACAATCGTAGAAAGCTTGTGTGGATGCGTAAGAACTGAAGTTATTAACTCAATAGTTACATTAGAAGTTCAGTTGAATGCATTATACGGAGAAGTAAATGCATAGTTTGGAAAATATGTTAGTGTCAGTAGGCCTGATATAGAGAGTTAAAGTGGCGTAGCTAGCGGTCCCGCTGTCCCGCCGGGCGGGACTAACAATTTCCAAAAAAATGAGTAAATGTCTTATAGTGAACCCGAAATCACAGCTTTGCTTATTTTGAAAATTTAAATATTAATTATGATCATTTTTCAGTGTTTTCATTTGTCATTTATTTAAAGTTTACGCAATATTGCTGTCTGCTCTTTGACCTCTTTGCTGTCTAGTAACTGATACCCTGCAGAATTAGCTAATTTCCACGCAATTTATTGCTTACTCACGCAATTCGTGAATCGCATGTCTCGTGTTCCGCTGATTTTCATGTGGCGGAATATGCAATACTATCTTATACAAGAAATTCTGGTTTCTGGTTGGATAATTGGCGCAGCGCATGCCCAGAACGGTTGTTTTTAATGCCGAAGTCCCGCTATTTTATGAAGGCGGAGGTTGTTAATATTCAAACCTTTCTCACGAAGCTTCTGCGCGAGTATTCACGACTGTGACGGTGGTAGGTCATCATATTACTATTCATATCATATTTGATATTGCTTTTGTGATTTGTATACAATGGCTTCAACGAGCGTGACGAACCTTATGGAAAGTCATAGCGGAATTTCATTTCATTCGGTGCTTTTAGCATTATATATGTGGTGCTTTTATCGTTATACGAGGGGCTCTTTACATTATACGCGGTCGTCGCGGTGCTTCGAGTTCGAGCATTATACGCGATGATTTTGACATTATATATGGGCTACACGCAACATTATACGAGGTGCTTTTAACATTATACGCGGTGCTTGAGACATTTAATAATATACGCGGTGCTTGAGACATACGAGGTGCTTTTAGCATTATACGCGGTGCTTGAGACATTATACGCGGTCGGTAGACTCGGTATAACGTTATACGCGGTACCTTCAGCATTGTACGCAGTGGTTTTATCATTATACGCAGTGCTGTAACTACTTGCTGTGGTTTCAACATCATACGCGGTGCTTGATTATACGAGGTGTAGTGATTAATTATTCGTTGTGCTGCAGACTCAGTACTAGTGCAGAGGGCAATGTTTTTGCCTAGCACAGCACTTCTCTGAGCTCACACAGATCTTCTCTCGGCCAGATGGCATTTTTTGTATTTTACGAAGGGAAAATAGAGGTGTATGGAAACTTTGTTTAGTGACATCTTTCCACCGTCGAAATCGCAGGAAATGCCATTTCCGAGGTTCTAGATTTCAAATTTTCTCGGGGGGCATGCCCCCGAACCCCTCTAGGAAGGTCGCACCTTCGGTGCGAGGGGTCCGCCTTCGGCGGGACGATTTTTTTACGCCAGCTACGCCACTGCAAGTGTAAGGTATTAACAATAACTCGAAAAAAATCACCTGTAATTACTGACTATCGTCTGGGTAATGTAATTTTACAACGCGCTCACCAAGAAAAAGATCTGGGAATTATTGTCAAAAGCAACTTATCCTGGGATTCTCACATTTTCTCAATCGTCAGTAAAGCCAACAAGATGCTTGGTATCTTAAAGAGAACTTGTCCCCTTATTAGAGATACTAAAGTTAGGCGAACACTATACCTGACTTTGGTGAAATCAAAGTTGTGCTACGCAACGGAGGTGTGGTCCCCAGCTAATGTGAAGCTACAAGTTGCATTAGAAAGAGTTCAAAGGCGCGCTACACGTTGGATCCTCAAAAGTAAAGTTGGAGAAATGTCTTATGAAGATAGACTGAAAACTCTCAATTTATTGCCACTAACTTACGATCGAGAAATCAGAGATCTTGTTCTGGTCTATAAATGTATTTTCGGCCACACTGATTTGAACATTGAACATTTTGTGTCATTTATACATCATAATCGAACTCGTACTCAGAATCCATCTCTAATGTTAAAATCTCCTTACTGTAGAACATCCACTTTCCAAGGATCGTTCTTTAACCGAATAGTTAAAACTTGGAATAATGTTGGAAAAATAGCCTCTCCTGAAAAGTTCGCCAGTTTAACAATTTTTAAAAGCTTTCTGCATGTGACATACACCGCATTGGTCAACAGTACTTTTAATATTGATATGGCATGCACTTGGTCGCTCACAAGAGACTGCCCCTGCCACCGTTCTTAATATGCATGTTATGTAATATATATTTGTATATAGTGAATTAGGTTGGGGGTTTTTTTTTTCCTTCTTTTTTTTGGAGGGGGTGCGCCTAGCATGGGTCTCGTTGTCCCGTTTGCGCTATCCCCTTTGGACTTAAACTTGTAAATGTTTCTACTATATTTGTCCAATAAAGCTGATAAATATGGGCTAATAAACATTGATTAAATTATTGACAATTATTGACAAAATAATAAAATAGACGCTCTCTGACCAAAAATATATATCTATTACAAGCTTTCGGCTACCAATCTGTAGCCTTCAACGGGTATGAGTGTATGAAATATGAAACTATAGTCTATTATTGTATATACAAAAAGATAAGCATAATTGCGTATGAAATATGAGTGTGGATTGTCAACTATGACTGCTTTTTTTATAAGAACAGTATATTGTCCGGGAAGTGAACATGACAATAATAGATATAGTTTCATATACAATAATAGACTATAGTTTCATATTTCATACACTCATACCCGTTGAAGGCTAGCTACAGATTGGTAGCCGAAAGCTTGTAATAAATATATATTTTTGGTCAGAGAGCGTCTATTTTATTATTATGTTTCATTCTGGCCGCGCATCTGCCTCTATTTTTTCAATTATTGACAAGTTGCTTCTACCAGTTATCTTCTTTGACTATCATACTTTCAATATACTTTCAAAATATTTTCGTTCTATCAATGCATGGTTCTATCCTACTGATATTCAATCGCTTTAATATTACATTAACGAATCTTAGGTTTAGCACACAAGGGAAATATGTGGTTGCAATAAACTTTAAACGAATAATACCATCAGTTAATACTGAATTATACTCAAAAGTCTATTACAACAATACATAACTACGTACCTGCTTTAGGAATATTCCTGTAAATATTCTGTAAATTGGTTACCAAACGCTAGAATATGGTGTGTTGTTTTGTATGGTGTAAAGTTCTTCCGGCTTCGACAGTAATTGAAACTTGATATGCAAATATGAGACACACTTCCTGCTTCCTGTGAACTCGGGACTCGCCAGGAATGCATTCCTAGGTCTCTTGTGACTTCGTGTGCTTGTTTGTTTGTATTTGTATGTCAGAACGAAAATTTGTGGAACAATGCCAAGGTGATAAATTCACAAAAAATTGCTTGACTGGGCTGAATGGAGAACTTATTGTGCATAGATATTGCTTACAAGATAGAAGAAATTCATTATTATGCTGCAAATTTAAGAAAATGCATTTAATTCTTGACTCTTTGAGAAGCCTAGTGTCTTTTGAAAGCAATATAGGTCTAAAGTCGCACGGCTGTATTGTTGTTCCGTTCGCCACAAGATTCTGTGGGTTCAATACTTCTATTTCCTTGTTTTACTTAATTAACTCAACATAACGTGATTGTCGGCAAAGTGCGAGCCAAAGTCACAGAACAAAGATCAGTACTGAACAGAAGGGCCACTCAGCAGTACAACGTGTCTTCGTATTTTCTTTATGCAAAACCATGTAGTTTACTGGCCAGAGCGGCAGAAGGCGGAGTATGCAGCCAGTACAGCGTAAGTTAGAGTTAAACACCGAGGGCGGAGGTATTTAGTCATATACATCCCGAGGGCCGTAGCCCGAGGAATATTTCATAAAAGTAAACATTACCCTGAGGGATGAAATATTCCGAGGGCGAAGCCAGAGGAATATTTCATCCCGCAGGGTAATTTTTTGTGGAATACCCCGAGTGAAAGGTCTATAAATGGTATATTATACCGAACCTTTCAAAAATAAGTAGAAAACAAATACCATTCAATTAACTTTTAATTTCAAAACACAACTTTTGATAACTTTACATTTAAAAAAGTCGAATTTCCCGCTCAAGCGTGGTATTCGAAGTCGAATACCATGGCCCCGGGTAAAACACCCAGGGTTCAAATTGCCTAGGTTATAGTATTCGCTGAAAAATACCATGGTCATGTGGTACAAATTTAGTTCTCTGATTGGACAAGCTCATTGTGAGGTATAATATATCTAGATATATACCTCATGAATAGTTTAATGAGGTATTTATCTAGATAAATACCTCATTAAACTATTCATGAGGTATTTAACTAGATATATACCTCATGAATAGTTTAATGAGGTATTTATCTAGATAAATACCTCACTAAACTATACTCATGATTTTTTTTCTGTGTTGGTGCTGTGTACTCAGGTGAATAATATGTTTGCGATGTTACTCTGAGTGCATATCCACACCGGGCGAGCTTGAAAAATATGCCCGGCCACGGTGGGATTCGAACCTACGACCTTTGGAATACTAGCCCAGTAGCCCAATGTTCTTCCAACTGAGCTACGCGGTCAGGACGGTTCGAGTAAGTGATATTTCGGAACAGTATCTAGTTCCTTCAATACCAATGTGTTCTAGTAATATGAATTTTTTTTTTTTTTTTCCCACAAGCGTAAGAGCTGTTTTGTGAATAAACCTCCAGATCATGAAATAAAGATCGGTACACACCGGACCGTCCGGACGCGATTCGACAACGCGACGTGATTTTTCGATTTTCATTGATAGTCTAGGTCTACGACTTGTATAGATGTTTGTATGCGTTTCATTTAGCACAGGTAATCTCAACTGTTTTTAGGGTAAAATGACCATGGCGGTCAACATGTCATAAGATGTATCTTAAGGAATAAGGGAACAGACAACATTAATATGCTGCAAATGTTTAGCTATACTTGTTGGGTAGGCTTATATAAAGGAAATGAAGTTGTAATCCTTGAATAAATTCTATCCAGAAAATGAAATGAATGAAAACATGCATGCCTGATATTGTACACCTGATCGATTGCAATGAAACTAATGAACTTTAATATAATAATACTAATAGCTTTTTCTTGGTTGGCAATTGATGTCATGTCGGTCATGTTGGAAACTAACAAAAGAATCTCATGAACAGCTATTGTATTTGGAGCGTGTTTTCCTCCAACATGGCCGCCAGTAGTATAGGAACTGAGGTTTCTAGACCATTGGCTTTTTTCTAGACCACCAGTTTTTTTATCTTTAGTAAAAATTAATTATTTCTATTATATTAAAATTAATGATTGATTCATTTAGTTAGAATGTGAAACTGCTATTCTTGTTTTTCATTTAACTTATCTCAAAGCTTCGGGATTACCTTACCAGTCCAGCTGGGACTCTAATACGATCATCCTACACTTTCCCAATATCGTCCAACCTTCCTATTCCAAAGCCTCTTCGACATCTTTTATTCTCTCCTTGAGGGTACACACATCCTTTCCATAAAATTGTTGGATCCTGATTTTGAAGCACTAGTTAGTACCCTATAAGAACTACACCACGCTCATTTTTGGTGTTGCTTCTTACAAGTGCCACACCTAACGCCTGCGTTTTCAGTTTCATCAACATTTTCAAATCTTCCTTCGATTCTGGAGGTAGTATATCCAGGTTGTTCCTTATGTGATTAATACCAGGCACAAGCATTCTTAACGGTTGCAGTTTTTTGAACTTCCACCTATTAATAGGCACCACAACCTTAAATGGTAATCTGGGGTAGTACTTATCAATTTTTTTTTCCACTCTTACTGGTACACAGCTAGGTTCTTTTTTTTCTTCAATCACCCCTTCAACGTCTGTTTTTTCAATTGTGTGGTGTCCATAAGCGCAACTTGTAACTCCATCTTCAAGTAAGTATCTTTTGTCATCAAAACAGCTAAGAGTAACCTTTTTCAATTCGTAAGTTCCAATTGCATGCTTTACGCTTCTGATTGTATTCATATTATGTCTCATCCTACCTTTCGTATTAATTACATTCTTAAAGTTCTCGTGAGTGAGCTTGTTTCTGATGACATACTTTTTAACTCCTTTAGCAGTCATTCCACCTCCACCGTTTTCCTTTACATAGGAATACATTTTTGACCTCAACCCAACAAACTCAATTATAGGTACTCCTTCAGCTTCATCCTTAAACTTACCTATAACCTTCTTGTTGTGAGTTGAGTAGTATGGAGAATCTTTTGGGTAATCTGAATTATCCCAACAGTTTTGCTTTTCACCAATTCTCTTAAAGTTCTCATAAACATCATCCGTCTTCAGTTCATACATTAGACTGTCAGTATCAGTGAACAGTAACCTTGAATTATTACCGTACTCCTTTTTGATTGTGTTGTAGTGAAAATCATACATTAAAGTCTTAGATAAGTCTAAGATGCTCATTCCTACGTAACACGGCTTATTTAGCGTTAGAACTTCTTTCATCCGTTTTACCACTATAAGATTCTCATTCATAATTCGATGTGACTGGAAGCAAGGTGATGCTGTCAGTTTTAGGAGGTCGTCTTTGGAGGACACTAATTTCACATCAACTCTTTTCCTAAGATTCTCCATAGTCTTTCCGTAAATCGAATTATTCATCAACTTGAAGAAGTTCTTTTCGAACGTATTACGGGCTGCAGACCTTTTCTTCGTATTGAAGTCTATATAGTCCTTAAGCCAGGGAGACTGCTTGAACGTAACCGCTCTATGGACCTTCGTGAGTTTCATCCCAAGGTCTGTGTACAGTTTCAGATTACGTACATGTAAGACGTAATTTTTCCTGGGACCAAGTGAAGTCACTAGTTTTCTTACTCCTCCAATTGTCAGTTGAAATTTCTCAGCAATACTCTTCGCATAATCTGACAACATAGAAGCACTGATTTCCTTACTCTCCGGTGCTAGAGGATAACCGTTATGTAGATCGTGAAGTTCTTGTGGATATTCCAGGTCAACCTCCAAAACCATCCCTCTTTCGTTGTCTCCCAAGTAATCCTCTAGATTCATACCATCAACTTCCTCAACCCACTCAAACTCTCCGTTAGGTAGTGGTTGTGACATTGCCCAGCCATATAAATTATTAGCATCGAGGTACATTAAGTACTTGTTATCAGACGACTCATCGTACGTCTCCATGTACTTATTATTAGCTGTGGAGTGTCTATGAGCAATATAACTTGTACCACCTCTCATACCCTTCTCGAAGAACTGAAACATATCCATATCACTTACAAGTTCTATTTCTTCACCTGACTTTTTCAGGAAAGCGTCCCAACTTAGACCAGGTGCTGACATGTAATGTGCGGGGTCAAGTTCATAATTTTCCAGACATGTTCTCCTGAAGTTTTCAAATACATCAGCTAGTAAAAGAACGTCAGTTTCCAAGTAGAGATCGTGGTAGTCTCTCATGGTTTTCATCTTGAAGTGATCCCACACTTTTTGAGCTCTCTGGTAATCTTCTTCCTTCACCTCTGACTCATACAGTGATGAGTAGAACTTATCCTTACTCGGAAGAACTTCTGTATTGAGTTTGCTAATGTCATCGAGGAACTCATATGGAAACACTCCTTTTTGTGTCACTAGATTGAAGTCCTCACCCTTCCACCTCTTACCTACTCTCCTGAAGTCCTCAGGTGAAAGGTTACTTACCAGTGCTTCCAGTGAAGAAGCCATGAACTGTATAGAGTCTATGAAGACCAGATTCTTACCCAGTGAGAATGAGATGTATTTTTCCGTATTATTTGGGATCACGTTGATGTTCATCTTAAACTTACCAATTTCCTGCATAATCAGATGACTATCGTAACCTCTCAGATTATGGAAGACCACAGGCACTTTCCATGTAATTCTGTACTTCAGGTTGCATATATTATGAGCAGCTCCACGGTACATTTCTGTTACATGGTCATGATCCCTTACCCTATCCTCACCAAGGTCGTTACCGCATATTGAACAGTTTCTTGCAGCTTGAAATTCGAATTCCTGTTTGGGTGTAATTACCATCTTTTTCTTGAATATATTGTTGACCATCTCTCTACATCTGAAGGACTCTTTCAATACAGTCTTTAGGAATACCAATGCAGCGTCCTCTCCAACGTAACTCTTATACTCACCGCAGTACTTATCATCATAGTGGCAGACAGTCTTCAAACCAAAACTACAAGCCTTGTGTGTCTAGTAAAGGTCTGTACTACTTTTGTCCTCAGGGTTTTCTGACTCCACTTTTCTCTCCTCTGGTACTAGTATGGACTCAAAATCAGCGTATATCACAAACGGTACAGGCATTGAGTTCCTGTGATTTTTGAACTTGATTTTTGTCCCTTCCTTGGGACGATTTACAGCCTGAGTTCCATTTACCTCCAGACATGTTTCCTTATGCTTCTCCAGTACCTCTTTGCTCACACAACTATGAAGACAGTGTAGACAGAAGTGCTTCTTATTTGTATGTTTACTTACACTGAAGAGCATCCTGTTTACATCCTTTATGAGCACATAATGGTTGTTACCTTTACCATCACCTAGGAGTAGAAGCTCCATATGCTCATCATATTTAGCCTTGGAGTTCCTTATAGGGTAGAACTGCTTTTTACCCTTGTAACCAAACACAGATATGTTGATACTGTTTTTCCTCTCAATCTTATCGATGTCACTTATCTTCACAGGGAAGTCTATACCCTTGTAATCCAGGTTTGTTATGAATTCCCTATCTTTCTGTGTGATAGTGGTTGCTCTCCTGGCTTTTGGTCTCAGATGTCTTACATGACTCCACACAAAACACAGGTTGTCATTGTTTTTCATATTGATGAGCCCACACTTTGGATTACTAATGTCCCCTGGAAGTTTCATATATGAACTACCCTTTAACGGTTTGTACATTGCAATGTTTACGTAATGACTCTCAATATTGAGTATAATCCAATTTGAACCTAAGTTTTGGAAGGTTTCAATTCTAGACGATATTGTCAGTTGGTTTTGAGCAGCAGTACTTTCAATATCCTCGAAGTTAGTTGCAGTACCAGTCTTAGATTTGAAGTAGACTGAGTCCTTCTTGGTTTTCCCGTCACCAATTTCCTTTGACATTCTCACCTTCAGAGTCTCTGTGTACTTCAACCCACCCATTCTCTTCAACTCGTTCACGAGTATTCCTCTCACTACCTGTCTACTTGCAGTCATCTGGTTCAGAGGGTCCATATAGTGAGGAGTTATCGAGTAAGTCACGGCGGCTCCATTTGCGGCTGTTTCAATTTTCCTGTGGAATGGCTTTTCGAGGTATGTTCCGAATGGATCTATTTCCTGTTCCTCTTGTGTAACCACTGCAGGTTGCTCCTTAACTTCCCTTGACACCTTTACAGGCTTACGTACCTTTGGGGGAGACACTACTTCTACAGTTCTTGGTTTTACCGTTCTAGGCTTAGGTACAGGTCTTTCCCTAGGAATTAGCGTTCTAGGCTTAGGTATAGGTCTTTCCTTAGGAAGTACCGTTCTGGGCTTAGGTACAGGTTTCCATGAAGCTACACCCTTAGGTACCTCGGGAGCTTTCCTTACTGGTTTCTTATTGAGATCCACGTGAATCGTAAACTTACCAGGACCTGTTGGTGTTATAACACTATTAGCTGGTACCTGCAGTTTTACCTTTCTTTGACTCAGGAATCTTTCAGCTACGGTTTGCTTCCTAACCTTAACATTAGACTTAGCCTTTGGAGGTCTTCCTCTCTTTTTGGGAATCTTCACTTCGGCATCAGACTTTGCCTTTGGTGGTCTACCTCTCTTTTTGGGAATCTTCACTTCGGCATCAGACTTTGCCTTTGGTGGTCTACCTCTGGGACGCTTTATCTTAGGATTCCTTCCATTTTCAATCCTCTTGATTTCCTCGTTTACTTGAGGATCATCCGTGCGCCATCTACCTCCCATCGTTGGTGGTAATCCCTGAACGCCTCTTGCTAGTAGATTCTGGTATGCCTCCTCTACAAGTAAGGCCTTTGCCTTTTGCCTGTCAGAGTATTTCCATGTGGGCATAATTCCTCTTCTTCCCTTATAGTTCAAAGGAATGCGTCTAGGTTTCTTTACCTCCATATCACGGTCAACTTCATCTACGAATTGTCTTTCTCCTTCAAAGGGACTTTTGCCCTTATCATCAGGTGCAATCCTGTAGTTTCTGTCAGCCAAGATGTCTTCTACTCTTGCTTCCATATCCTCATCACTATCTATGATACTATTGAGAGCCATAAGTTGTTCTACGCTGAATTCGTTCATATCAAAATAACTCGCCATATTTTTCAACTGTTCCTCTATACTATATGTGTAAAAATAAATTGGAGTATTTAATTAATAATTTACTACCAATTAAATACTCCAATTTATTTCTTTCATTAAAATTAATTTTATTATTTTAAACATTTATTTTTATTAATTAATATTAAATTTTAATTAATCATTTAATTTTATTATTTTAATTAATCATTTATTTTTATTATTTTAATTAATCATTTATTTTTATTATTTTAATTAATCATTTATTTTTTACTTTTCCAGTTATTATAATATTCACATTTCTCAGGTTTCCATCCAAGCTCAACAAAAACTTTCCCATACAATCTATCCTCAAGGATGTCCACAATCCTTTGAGTCTTAATATCCTCGGGAGGGTTCCTCAGAGAGATATCATTCATGCTGGCTATCCTCAGTAGGTAAAACTTGTATCTGACTATGTTGCGCCCCCTTTGCAGTCTAAGTCTTTGTATACATCTTACGTTGCTTCTAAACTGCTCCCTTATAATGTCCCTATCCATAGAAGCAACATGTTCGAACAAGTGTCTCTCAAACCAACGGACTCTGTTGTGACAAGACTTCTTCTTCAGATAGTCGTCCTTGTTGTAGTTGTAACTAACGTAGTATGAGAAGTTATTCATATTACTAGTACCACACTGTGTGCATGTATCTGCCCCATCTATCATTACAATAGACTTACTCCCACATTCGCTACATATTGGATCATATGTGTGTTTTCTCTTTATTCTTCTTTCCACGTACTTTCTTACTGATACCTCTAGCTCTTCTATGGTGTTTAGTTTCCTGCCTACTAGTACTACTTCCTCTGGTGTCACTGTTTGAAGCCAGTCCATTTACCTATACTATTAGTGTGAAAATTTTCTGCTGATTTTCGGGGTGTATTTAAACGTCTTCTTATTATTCTTAGTTCCACATACTTTTTGACTGCAGCTTCTAACTCTTCTATTGTGTCTACCCTTTTTCCTAGGGCTACTACTTCCTCAGGTGTTACCATTTGAAGCCAATCCATTTTCCTATATTATTAGTGTAAAAATTTTTTGTGGCATTTTCTATAGAATTAAATAAGCTGCCCCTCCAACCACCCCACCTGTAATTAAACCAAAGATTGTCATATATTCTTCAATCTCAGAGCTAGGTTTGTAGTGATTACTCAATTGCGGCTTCCTTGGCATAGGCTTATGTGTTAACTCATTGATTCTTCTAGCGAGTTCTAGTGACTGGTTCGTTGACTTAATATCCCTACTTGCCTCAGCTAGTTCTGACTTCAGTTGGGCAATCCTATTTCTCCTATCAGTGACCTCTTCGAGGTACTTCTCTCTTTCAGCTGTTAGGTTCTCCATTGCCTTGTTATGTCTATGAGCTTCCTCAGCGTATCCATTCTTGTCAAACATTTTAAATAAGTATCCTGCTCCCGCAAATGCAAATGCGTTAAAGAGTCCTCCTGCTACTGCCCCTGCCATTGTATAGTTTTACCTAGGTTTTGAATGGATCATCTGGTAGATACTTCTTTTCTTTCAAGTAAGAGACCAGTAGAGACGAAAGACTAACTGAAATAGTTAACATCGCCATTCCTTTTACATTCTCTGGGGTACCTAATGGTTCTTTCAATATTTTCTTTGATGCCATTGATATACCAACTGCTCCTGCTGTAAGTAACACTGCGTCGTACACTTCGGTGGTCATCTTTGATTCTTTACTCATCTTGTTATAATATATGGTATGTTTAATGTATCATTCAAGTGAATTTAACTTGGACTCATCAGCTCTCCTAGTTACTTCTACAGTTTTAGGAATGTACTTAGGTTCTGGTTTCTTAGTTTCCCTCTGATGTGTTTTATATGCTAGCACAAGAGATATCAATGCAATGGCCACTCCTATGTAGGTAATCATGCTGTCATTGCTACGTGACTCGTTAGGTTCTGCCAGTTTCTTTTTCCTCTCCTTTGCTATTTTACTGATTGCAGCTAGTCGTTTCCCTGCAGCTACTCTTTTTGGGTCCTTCTTCTTTTCACTTGTTACTGGTACTTGAATTTGCTCAGGTTTATCTTCCATTCTACTTGTAAGATACCTTAGGTTTAACTTGGTTTCATCTTATGAGACATCTTTAATTCTACTTGTAAGACACCTAGCTTAAATTTACTTGCAAGATAACTCAGATCTACTTGCAAGATAACTTAAATCTACTGGTGAGATAACTGGTGAGATAACTTAAATTTACCTGTGAGATGTCTCAAATCTACTTGGCAGTATGATGGAACTGCTTAGAAAATACCCGACAGTATTCGCCAAGCACTTGCACTCTAGTACTTACCTACTGTGTAACCAATTCTTTGAATTACAACTTCCTTACACTGACTAGCCTTCAGAGTCTTACACTTTATCTTAAGATTCTTTATTTCCTTTAGGAGTTTCTTTATATTGTCGACCCTAAAGTACTCCTCTATATCTAGCACTATTTCCGTGTAATTGTTAGATATTAATGTCCGGTATCCGTTTTTACCTAACTCCCTTATCCAAGCTACCTGGTTGTCCTTAACTTCACCTGTACCCTTCGGGGTCTTAAGTTCTATTGCGAATCCATTAAAACCATTACTTGGAGTTACTATTGTGAGATCGGGTTGTCCGCCCAGGTATCCCTTTTTCCAGGCGTCACATCTCTTTTGTGACGTATCCTGGTACTCTCCTAGTCCCGGTAGGATTAGAGCTTTTGGGTGGTACTTTTTAAGATATTCTACAACAGCATAATGAAGGTCCGTCTCATTAATTAATCTCATTTGATTACAGTAAAGTGGCTTAGATTCTGGTAATTTGTATGAGCCCGTTTTACGGATAGATGGAAGTACTTCCTTGAATACCCAATCCTGAAAGTCCTCTGCTATTGGAAGCCTCGAGCTACATATTAGCTGGTACAAACCGGGTTCGTATAGCAGGATCATTTGTGGGTGACATTTTTCGAAGGGGGGCGATTCGCCCCCCATGCGGAGCTCCTCTACGCTTACCTTATTCTGTTTCCTAAGTACCCTAGTGATTCTGCCACATCCTTTGCATAGAACAGTACCTCCTCACCACTCTTAACGGTTCTTATACTAACATTCAACTTTTGGTTCCTGAATAATTGCTCCATCTTTCCTATACTATATGTGTAAAAATTTTTTGGGCTATTTTATTCATCAATTTGGAGCAGCATTCCCTCTTCCCACCCAGCTGCTTCCCACTGTTGTATACTTCCTATTACAAAAAATTATTTTGCCTACTGCATTTCATTTAGATTCTTGTATATATTTACAACTGTTTTTATTGTGTCATTTTTAAAAGCTTCAAAGTCATACTTTAGTGAATCCAAAGTTGCCTGAATCTTATCAGTTTTCTCAATCAATTCATCAATTATGTCTTCGAATTCTGTTCCTCCCCACTCGATTGGTTCTCCGGAGTTTGACATTCTGTATGTAATATCAGATGTTTAGCTTCCTCGGACACTTCCTCAGGTTCCTCCTTCTTATTCCACTTATGGGCAACTACATGTTTAGCTGTTGTACAGCCACCAGATATGAGCCCTATGAATGGGATGTTGGGGGATATCGTTCTGGTTAGATATAGTACGTCATCCTTCAGAAGCTTGTCACTAAGTAGTTCCTCTGACAGTTTCTCTGAAGATTCCACTGCACCAAAACTTCCAAGTACCGCAGCAAACTTTGAAATAATAAGCGTTGATAAGAAGTCACTTGCACATGACATCCTTTGACTTTCATACTCATGGTACAGTCTATCTACAACATCCTTGTTAGACTTTCTTATAAAACTTGCGGACTTCTCTATTATACCGTCCCTCGATAGCTCTATAAGTTTGTCTCTTTTATGTTCAGTTTGCGACTTATCTGCGGTAGACTTAGTTTTTCTTGCTTTTTTCTGCGGCACCTTTGCGGCCTCCTCTACTTCTCTTACAGCCTCAAATATTTCTTCCTCAGATTCAGTTCCCATCATCTATATTTTACGCGGTGTTTAGTTTAACAGTGTATGTGTAAGGGTGAATAAGTAGTACGTCCAGTGCGGTGAACTTTTCATCTTTTAATATCTTCGTAATCTCTGTAATTGTCTCCTGAGGAGCACCGCTTAGATAGTCATCTGTTATCACCTTCATATCCCTGCGACTAGGGTTGTAGAATGTGACTAACCTGGAAATGTTCTCCCTGAATGGTTTTGCTACTGATGACAATTGTTGGGTAATTACAATGACAGATAGGTTGTAATGTCTTGCAGAGAATGCTAAGCGCACCAGTTCTGAGACTCTTTTCTTTACATCTTGACTTGCAGCACAATCGTCCACTATAATGAGAGTCTGAGTACGTACCGCGAAATATGGTGGACACTGCCTTGAGAACAAGATCGATCATTTCTTGCGAGCATGGAATTTGTATAACTCCATGGTCACTAATATGAGTCCAATTAATATAAGTCATATTCCACTCTATGGTTGGACATATAATGACAATGTAATCGAAAACTCTATTGTACTCTGTTTCTAACATATTAAGTAGGAACTTAGTTTTTCCACTTCCAGTCATTCCTAATATGAGCATGTTGAATGGGGGTTTAAGTTGTTGCATCTCTATGCTTTACCATTAGTATTGAATACTTGATAGATCTCTATTGGCAAAGTTAAGGAGAGCATCTGATACAACAAAAATGTTGCACTGAACGTCAGCTGTTGTGGCTCTCTTTTTGATTTCCAGAAGTACTCCCGACTGTGTGTTAACAATCTTCTTACCTCCACCAGTGGTATCATCTTGTGTTGACCTAAGATCGATTACTAGAGCAAAACCATTGCTGTAGAACTTGCTGATGGACATAAATTCGTCTGCCATGGATTTCTCACACATAGGACAGAAGAATCTTTTTGCTTCCTCGAAGAACCTATTTTTAGGAAGTCCCTGGGAGAAGACTGCATTAGGCACACCTTCAATGGTCAGTTTCACTTTATCAATATTTGGATAAATATACTCTTCACTATCAGTTCTCACTCTATTGGTAAATAGAAGGACAATTGCTGACATGCTCTTCCTGGGGATATTTATGTTCTCATTGACAATGGTAAGATCTTTGTCCCAATTACTCGTACGCATTAGTGTGACGTGTTTGTAGGACAGTGAGCGACCCGTTGAATACATCCTTGATACTTCACTCGCAAGGGTGTCATTCTCAATGGTCTCGTATTCTAACTCAAGATTATCAAGTTTATAATTACCCTTAGCTTCACCTCCCTGAGCAGTCATAATCTCATCTGATTGCGGGAGTGTGAGGATGTACATAGGATTGTTATTCATGGAGAACGGTGTGTAGAGTCCATGGTTTGCAAGTATTTTATCAATTGGTTTTCTCAGCTTAGAACCGTACACACTATGGAGAAGTGCATCTGCTACTTTATTGGCATCACCTACCTTTGCTCCTGAGTCATCACCTGATATCAGCTTCCTAAGATTCTCACTTGCGAGACCTTGTTCAGTCATCTTATTTCTGTCACCTAGTGTTAGCCATAGATCCTTGTATATTTCGTACAAACTCTCTCCTGAACAGTCATAAGCTGTTTCACCGGCTACTTTAATCTGAAGACGCTTAGCTATCAACTTAGCTAGGTTATTATTAAATCGGCTTTTTGTATTGGAATTTTTGAAGTCAAATAATAGTGCAAGCGATCCTGGGACTAAACAAGAGTCAGGCTTTAGCTTGGGGATGTTAATGTACAGCTCTTCACCTGGGCTAATAGTTGTTGGATTAAATGTTACAACACTTCTAGTTCTGGGACCTTTTACGGATGTCATACGACTCCTCCTGAAGCCAGGTTGGAGTTCTCTTTCTGTGGTATTCATACTTGTATACAATATGTAATGTTTAGCTGTACTTGTATAGTAAAATTATTCCGATACCTACAGCTACCACCCATAAGTTCGATGATATGAATTTAATCAGTTTGCTTACTATATCAGGAAGTGGTGACGGTGAAGGACCTCCGCCTCCGTGCGTGGAATCTGCTGCCATTGAGGATAGTTTTCTAGTCTATATTATAACAGCTGTTAGGAGAGCAGCAACTGACACTATGATACCTGCAAGCACAAATCCAAAGTTATCTTCAACCCATGATTTGAATCTTTCATACCTTGTAAGATCTTCCCTAACATCCTTCAACATGATTTCTGTACTATCACCACTGAATGTAGGTTTATCATCTTCTGGGATACTATCCTGTGCGACCTGGAATAGGAGGTTCTCAAAGTTAAAAGTATCCTTTAGCCATTCAGTGTCTACCCCAGGTAGAGGCTCCTCAGTCTTCTTACCTCTGTCAGGCTTCCTGGGTTCTTTGCCTCTGTAGGGCTTTTCTATCTTGGGTTCCCCCGGTTCTTTTTTAGGTTGAGGCTTCTTAGGTTCTTCCTTAGGTTTAGACTTTTCTTTTTCCCGTTCTTCGAGCTTTTTTCTCCAGTACTCTGTTTTTTCCTTATCACCCAAAACAGTTTCCTGAAGTCTTTAATCTCGGCTTCCCTACGCTCAGCCTCAGCTTTTCTCTGACGTTCGGTAGCTTCTTCTGCAAGCCTTTTTCTTTCTAACTCGGCAGCCTTCCTACGGCCTTCTTCCTCCTTCTTTCTAACTTCTTCTTTCCTGCGTTCTTCTTCCTCTGCTTCTAACTCTTCCTCGGGCTCATTAGGATCGAAACCCAGATTTTCTATAATACCCTTCAGCTTATCTATTTTTTCTAAGTAGTCATTCCTTCTAACTTCAGCCTTAGCTATTCCCCTAAGTACAACTAATGTTTTTACCTCTTCCTTGAGAGTACCATGGGTCGCGTTTAAATAGGCCTCTGTTTCTGAATTCTTCCAGGTCTTCATTTTTCTTAGATGACTAACGTATTTAATTTCTCTTTCAATATCTTCTTTCTCGTCCAATTTTCCGGGTCCAGTTACCTTTCTTCGGAGAATGTCTATTTCAGAGTCCATTTCTTCGGGATTCATTTCCCTATAGCCGAGATATAATCTGTTCAACTCATCTAGGCCCTCGGTTCCTAAATCTCCTTCCCAGATCTCAGAGTATTCGCTATTGTATTCATCAAGAATGGCACTTACCCTTTCCATCCATGCTGCCTTGTATTCTACGCTTTCAGCCATTACTATACTTTACTTGCTGTAATTGTTGTACACAAGTAGGGCAGCTGCTACAGCTAATACCCATAAGTGTGACGCTAACCAAGCAATTCCTTTGGCTCCCCATGATAGCGCTGTTGCGATGGTGTTCAGGATTGGAACTAGAACTGGTCCTGCTTTCTTCGCTAAATTTGCTAATGCTTTTGCTACTTTACCAGTGGCCTTTGCTGTCTTCACAATGGCTCCCCTAGCATGGATTAGTAAGGCTGTAATAAAACTAGCCGTAGACACTGCTACCCCCACAAGTCCCACCTTTTCCTTTCCTACCCAGGCTATAAATCTACATAATCTAGAAATGTCCTTTAGTTGTGCCTCTCTTGCTTCCTCTACAGTTCTCTGCTCTAGTGTCCTATCCCTAGCTTCCTTCAAACTGTCAATTCTTTCTATAAGGGAATTATACTCAGTTGTACCTTCCGCTGAGGTGGAGCGTTCCACGGTTTCACCAATAGCTTCGTTAAAGTAGTCAGCCTGGATTTGTAACGCTCCATTGGGACCTGTTCTGCCTTCTATGCTTGATCCATCAGGTGGGTTAAGTACTCCTCTCAGTTCATTGTTTTCTTGCATTGTTAGCCCTGGAAGGTCTCCTAGTTTTGCACCTATGTCTATTAACTCAATGTTCTCGCGACTAGCGTATTCCTCATCACTGTCATCAAATTGTGGCTCTTCCCTAGTATCCTCATGAATTGATTCTTCACTTGTAATTCTAGCGTCAGGATCCATAGGTACCTCTTTTATTTTCTTTATAAGGTCCTTGTATTATCTCAATGCAATGGAGTTCTTGGAGTACACAGGTTTGCTGGTCTTACCACGTTTCATTATTTGTGTCCCACTTTTGTCAATACCTTGTTCACTTCTAAATACCAACACCTCCGTGCCATCTTTGAGTGTTCTTACAGATGATCTCTTGATGAGTTCCCTGACGTATTTATTCTTAGGGTCTAGTATTAGTCCCTCCTTACCTTTAATAACTCTTGCGACAGCTTAGACACGCTCCACTTGGTTTTCGAAATCTCTCTTTTTATTTGCTGTTGAAATCTTATTTAGTTTCTCTAGGCGGGCTTCTATTTCATCCCAATCAGCGTCAAATGATTCGTTGAATGCATCTAGCACATCTGGAAGTACATTGTTTGGGTCTTCCACAAAGTTGACTCCTTGAACGGTTGTGCTTCCTGATGGACCTGAAATGTTCACTGTACCATCATTTCCTTCGGTGAAAGTTGTTTCTTCTATTGCACGTCTCTCCATGAGATTCCTTACATAGTCCAATTCACTTTTAAGATTGGTTATCACTATAGGATCATCACCATACATAGCCTCTCCCTTCACCTTTGTATCTAACCTACTAAAAGCTGTCGTTAGGTCATCATAATTGAGGTCGTCATATTGAGGATAACTTTTTTCCGTCTCCTCCAACTCAATGTCATCGTAGTCCTCGTAGTCCTCCATAATACTTTAACTTATGTTAGGGACTTGATGTCTCTAGCTGGTATCCAACTGTTAAATTTGTCATCATAACCTAACCACTTAATGAGAGCCATCTTTTTACCCTTCACTGTTCTTCTTCTCAGTACTTTCTCTATTCTGAAATCAGGTTCTCTTCCTTCAGCGCTATACAGTTCTTGTTCATAAAATCTACCAATTATTGGTTCACCATCACTGTCTTTTATTGTGTACGTGTTTGGATGGCCGTGATACACTTCCGTCACAGTGAACAACTCCTCTGTGAAATTTGCTTCATACCCTTTTGTGAACACTGATTTGTACTTTGAAATTCTAACACTTTCTCCGACAGCAAACTTTGGTTCTGACGGCTTGCCTAAATTGTGACTGAAAAGTGTCTTCCATACTTCAGTCCAGTTGGACTCATTTACACTGTCTGGTGTTGTTTTAATTGATCTGTTCACTGAACTGTTGTAATTATCAGTTAAGTCTTGAAGAACATCTAACCATTTATATGTACTGGCACTGTAAAAGTACTTCCACATTAGCGCTTTTAGTGTTCTGTTAAACCTTTCCACAACTGCGGCCTTTTTATCTGAGTAAGTAGAGAAAAACTCAATGTTATGTTTATTGAGCAATGACTTTACTTCTTTGTTGTAGAACTCTGTGCCTTGATCAAACTGGGCGAATTTTGGGTATTTACCAAAACGATTATTAAATTGCTCTAAAATGTTACTAACTGCATCCTTCATTGACGTCGCGTTTTTCCTATACACTGGTACTGTGAATGCGTACCTGCTCAGTATTTCAATGGATGTGAGAATCCAGCGGTATCCCTTGTTCTTGTCGTCATACTTTGTCATGTCAACTAAATCCATTTGTAACTGTTCACCTAAAGTTTGGACGTACGTCTGTCTGAACTTATGTTTCCTAAAAACTTGTCTGTACCTAGTGTATGTGTCTTGCTCGTTTATCCATTTCTTGATCTGGTTTCTGGTTACTTCAAGTCCTTCCGATACTGCTCTAAGATATAGTTTCTCTGGTGTTTGAAATCCAGTCTTAGGATTGTAGTAAATATCTCGTAGTCCCTGTTCTTTCATAATATCATCGTCCATCTTATATTAACCAATGTAAGCTAACTACTCAAGGTACATCTCAAGTAGCACTTCACCTATATCAATAGGTTTCCCGTCTTGATCTGTCATGTGGAATACAAGTTCTGAGAATGAACCCTTAATAACTGAAATCCTGCTTTCAACATCAATGTAACTAACTACTGAGCCTAATAATGGTCTGTCAGTTGGAACTGTGACACTTGTTATTACATCGCTGGGTCTTCCCCAAGGGTTAACGTTAAAACTGTTACTTACCAGATTGCAGCATATATTTACGTATCGTAGACCGTTATTAAAGTCAACTTTGCTATCACTTGTCAAACTCCTCCCTTTCAGCAGGATCATAGGATTATTAAATCTACTAAAACCTAACATAGTCAGTAATCGTGTTTCTATTGTGGTATCCTGTTTTACTGCCTCTATTTGACATCCTGCTGTTTCAGTAAAGTAAGTTAGCTTAACACCATGTCTTTCAAGTAACTTCTTCATACTGTCAAATGTGTAGTAACCTTTACTAACAATTACATCAGATTCTCCATCATCTGTTTTCACTTTGAGAATAGTTGTTGGTTCCCTTATGTTGAAGTACTCCCAGAAAACTGATACTCTCTTCACAAAGACTGATTTATAGTTGCTTGTTAGAACTGAGTTTTGTAGTGATACAACTGTGTGCGAGCTCTGAAGTAAAATTGTGAACTTCATCTTAATAACATACGTTAGGTTATTAAGAATGAGACTAGGTGGAGGACAAGTTGGCAAGTCACCGTATCGGTCGTACCAGGACTATGAAAAAAAGTATGAAGATCATGTTGATCCTGTTGCTGGTAAAAATGCAGAGAATGCTGAGAGGGCTAAATTTATTAAAAAGTACCCTCACGCTGACATGAATAGGTTTAAGTTTGAAGCAAAGGCTACTAGGATTTTCATGTGGCGGAATATGCAATACTATCTTATACAAGAAATTCTGGTTTCTGGTTG